GAGAGAGAGAGAGAGAGAGAGAGAGAGAGAGAGAGAGAGAGAGAGAGAGAGAGAGAGTTGACATTGAGACTTTGTGACTTTGGGGCATTGCCTGATTCAGTGACATTGTGACTTGATATTGTATGAGCAGCGATATCGGGGATGCATTGGAGACTGGGTTCATCGGGCTATGGTGGTTGATCCTCCCTATCTCCTCCTCCCTTCGTCTCTTCTTCCCCACCTTCGTCCGTGTTTGTATTTGTACTCAGCGCACCTTCTATGCTTGCTGTGCTGAGCCCACTCGCACTGAGTGATGACGAGTGCTCTCAGGTCCTGTCATTGTCCCTGCTGAGCCAGATCTTGGTATTTCAGTCTTCCACTGTGCTATTTTTGTTTGGTTCTGATCGATGCTGGGTAGGCATGCGACACTTGTTTCAGCGTTAGGCATGCGACACTTGTTTCTGATTGACAGTGGAAACACTGACATTGTAGTCAGCTCATCATGGTTATCGGTTCCTTCCTTTTTTTTTGTTTTTAGTTGATGTTTTTAATTTTTAGTTTCGTCTTGAAAAAAATAGCTACGTTTTTCTTGTATTTCTGATGTAATTTAAAGTACTTAAAATCATAATAAATCAATAACACAGTCTTTGTGATGTAATTGAATTAATTACAATAAATGAATAAAATAGAGTTGCCTGGAGTTTTGTCACATCGGTCAGTCCCGAGGGCTTCCTCTTTGCATGTCAGGCAATAAGTCGAGTTCAAAGTTAAAACAAAAATTAAAATTCTTTAATCAAGTTTAATGCCAATTCACAATTTCGAATTTTCAAAAGTTAAGTGAGACGTGGACAGCCTAGCGGGCACTAACTGTCCTCTGTTTTTTTTTTTTTTTTTTTTTTTTGGTTTAAAAGTTTAAAACTAAATTAAATTAATATGGGCACACTGACTGTTCACGCTGTTTTTTTAATTTGGCTACCAACAGATCCCAGAAGTGAACACTGTGCCGTTGCACACTATTCCTGCCAATTCACTCGTGCGCTTTCGCGGAATGGTAAGGCTTTTTTTTCCTTAATACTTTGAATTGTCCTTTTTCAAATAATTTGTTTAAGTAATTTATTCGATTGTCCTTTTTTTTCTTGTTCCCTTCTTTATAACCTTATTTCCTCTTCTTTTTTTTTTTTTAATAGCATTTCTCTATTTATGCGTGTCATCCGTGCACAGGGGCGATGCTAATCTTCTCTGTATCATTCCAATTTTAATGACTGTCCTGAAGGAGACTATAACCTTATTTCCTCATTCTTGCTGCGTGTCTTTTGGGAATCTTTGTGCACTTTGAATTCCAAGCAAAATTGAAATGTGTGTGGTTTCTTTCTGGAGGAGCTGTACTCCTTTTTCTTTCCGAATTAAAAAGAGGGGGTAGTGCCTAACATTATTGTATATATATTTAGCGGCTAACATTATTGTATTTATATTATTGTGTATCCATTCGATTCTGTCAGTATGTGAACTCATGTGACCGCTTTTACGGCCGGACCTGGATGCACCTGACCGCAATTACGTCCACAGATAAGGTGAAAAAGTCGTGGTGTGAGTGTACGCCCTCAGGATTCCAACTCATATGCCCTCTGAGTCAGCTGTTGATTACCGGTTACATGTGTGTGTACCATTCAGCTCCATGGGCTGGGTTCAGTTCCTTCTCCATCAGTTTCTAAGCATTGGGTTTGTGCATCCTTCCAGCTGTCAATCTCAGGGACGTTTTTTTAAAACCGTCTGACAAACATTCAACAACAATAGCTCCTTCTCAGATGGCAGAGGTCACACTTAACCAGCAGCTCCAAGCTACTGGAGCAGCACATCATTCTAACACTGGAAGAGGTTGGG